GCTTGAATAAAAAAAAGTTCCTTTCCAAGTTGGAAGTCAAAGTCTTAGGTAAAGCTCTCAACAGCCTAAGAAATGGATATCACCTACTTTTATTATACACACACACACAATACACACACATATATACTTATGCACACACATTCACACACATTCACACAGAAACACACACACAGACACACACATATGTGAATATATTAATCATAGATTTTACTTTCCATTTCAAGAATAACCAAGGTATTTCAGCCAATCAAAGAAAACAGCAAAATTAACCAGCTGCATGAGTAAAGTCCAATGAAACGGATTATATGATATCACAGGATATAAAAGTCTCAAACATAAGATCTAACTTTTCTTTCAATTGTATGGGACTTAGTGACATGTGTTATGGACTAAATGTTTTTGTTCTCTCAAAATTCACCTACTGAAATTCTAACCCCTCAATGAGACAGTATCAAAATATGAGGGTCTTTGGGAAGTGATCAGGTCATGAGTGTGGAGACCCAGTGAATGGGATTAGTGCCCTCATAAAATGCTTGTTTATGAAACATTTATTGAATGCCTATCACTGGACAACCCTTGGGCTGGCACTAGCAGGTGTAAAATGAAAAGACGTACATCTCAGCAGCAAGGGTCTAGAATGACACACAGTAAGTCCACACAAGATCATGAACACATTTGGTGGCTTCGTGACAGGAGGTGCTGGAAGACAGAGGAGGGAGCCTGAGGGTGGTGGCTGTGGGGCTGGGAAGGTTTGGGAGGAGGTGGGGTTGTTGGGTACCAGCAGCTGCCATTGTCCTGAAGGAACCACAGGAAGGAAAGGGGGAAACCAATGAAACACAGTTTTCAGACATCTGCTAAGCTCCCGGATGCCGCTGCCACAGAATCAGGTCCTTACATGTCTCCCTTTATCTGATCTTTTATTTGCTCATCAGGATGCATCTCACAGCAATATTACTAAAAAGGCAGGCTCACTCCCTAGGTCCCCTCCTCGCTCCCCATCATAGAATGTACAGCAGAGGACAACTTGGCTTTCTTTTTCCTGGAGAAAGCTTTGCGGTTTGGCTGACTCAGTCACTTTTTTTTTTTTTTTTTTTTAGATGTGACCACTTTGAAATACTCTGTTAGCAAACAGACTGATGGGCAAACTTCAAAGGACACAGCACTAAAAGGATCAATATCTCTCACAATGGCTCTAAAGGGCCAGACAGCTTCATTTAGGATATAATTGGAATTCCCTTGAAGATAAAGATGGTGTTAAACTTGAGAAGAAATCAAGCAAGGCCATGTTTAACAGCACTGCATGACACGGTCTTTGCAACTGTCAATGCACAATAACCCCATCTATCAATATCTATTCTGTATTTCAAGACACTTGATACAAGGCAGAGACAACTCCTGCCCTTACATGAGAAAACATGTGACAACACGGGAAAACAAAGGGTGATGTTTTAAGATAACATCTAAAACTAGGGATGTTCACCAAACTTAGACTACAGTTCAAAAATACAGCCTTTCACTCAATATATCCCTTAATAATATTTTAACGTATACATCTATTCAGAAGAATATCCATTTAGAGAGGCATTATGATAAGCAAATTTTACTCCCTGACTTTCTTCAAAATATTCATAAAATGAAAACAGCTGATAAGACTTGAGACTAAAGACAATGTTCCCAGAACTACAAGGATAGGAAAAATAAACAACACAAAACCAAAAAAAAGCTACAATTCAAGCATTCAGTGTGGCTGGATGTAGAAAGCCAGGCAGACCTTCTCTTGAACGCAGGTCAATGCGTGTGGCTACAGCTCTCTGGGTAGCTGCTTGGTTTTCTTTAGGTTTCTCAACCTGTGAGATGGCGTCACAAAGGCTGGCCAGCAGCCAGTCCTGCCAGATTCCTGTTTTTTCTAAATAAAGTTTTATTGGAAGAAAGCGTGCTCATTGCCTTCTGCTACCACACAAAGTGTATGGCCTATGGAACCTGAAATGTGGCCTCTCCCTCTTTAGAAAAAGTTTGCCAATCCCTGGTCTGTGGGACTGCTGTACAGACTGAAAATGATGTGACGGAGTCCTTGGCACATGACAATTGTTGTCATTACATCATTATTCAAGTAGGCAAAAGGTTAAGGTCACGCAAACTAGAAAGAAAATGTTTCAATTGCCGAATCCTGCAAATCAATGAATCCTTAACCATCTTAGAAGAAGCTCTTGCTCTTAGACTTCCGCTCAGGAAATGGCAAAGAATCTCAGCCTGAACTCCACTGTATGGAAAAATGACTCAGGATTAATGTGGATTAGAAGGACACCAAGCTACCATTTCTCACCCATCAGGCTGGCAAAAAACCTTGAGTGTGACAGCACTTTCTGTTGGTGAGGCTCTGGGGAAATAATTGCCAAAACTGCTGCCAAAATTTTAGGGAAACTTGGCAATGTTCATCAAAATTCCACAAAAATTTACTCTTTGATTGTACTCAGGAATCTATCCCTAGAATACCTGGCAAAAATACAGGCATGCACAAGGTTGTTCATTACAAAAGCCAAAGGCTGGAAAATGCCTAAATGTCCACCCTCAGGACAGATGGCGGATGCCAGGTTCAGAATCCTAGATGGGCTTGGTAACTCCCACTGTGCTAGAAGGACAGAAATGAGAAAAGACCAGGTGGCCATCGACAAAGGACAACAAGTCACCATGAAGCTGTCCCCAGTGGCCAAAGAGGAGCGATTTGAGTTTACGTGAATCAGAGGGTAGACTGACAAGGTAAACAAAGCCACAAACAGACACTCCAGACAAGACAGCGGTGCTGCAAGACGGAGGAGCTGGTTTCCTCAGAAGCTAGTAATAGGAAGAGAAACCCAACGAAGGTGGGAAAGCCTCGGGGACACAATCTCAATACAGAGGTGGAGATGTGGCAACAGAACAGAATCAGTGGTGACAGTGGTAACTGGTCACAGAGTGGTGATCATTTCATGACATATAAAAATATCAAATCAATATGTTATACAGCTAAAACTAATATAATATATATTAATTATAACTCAGTAAAAAAATTTTTAATTTTTAAAGCTGAAAAAAAATTTAATAGTAAGTGTGGGCTTTAGGAGGATGCTGATTCAACCAGTGTCTGTAAGACAACACTTTTGAGATGATCAGGAAGTGTATGCACTGATTGGTATTAGATGGTGCTAAGAATTGGCTGGTACTTGTATTCGGTACCACTATGGCATCATGATTCTGCAAGAGAACATCCATTTTTTCACAGACATACATTGACTTAGGTAGGGGTGATGACACAGTATCTGAGGTTCTCTTTGCAATATTTCAGTCCCATCCAACCCTAAAAGTGGACAAAGCAAGTATAGCAATTTCTTCCTGAAGCCAGGAGACAAATAACTGATGTTCAATCTGCTATCCTCTCTCCTTTGACAAGACTTTGGGTCTTGAAAGACTTCTGTAAGTTTACAATAAACCTTGGTTTAGGGATAGAGTGAACAAACAAGCGGGCTTCCCTGGTGGTCCAGTGGTACCTGCCTGCCAATGCAAGAGACGTGGGTTCGATCTCTGGGTCAGGAAGATCCCCTGGAGAAGGGAATGGCTACCCACTCCAACATTCTTTCCTGGGAAATCCCATGGACAGAAGGGGGGTGGCAGGCTATGGTCCACAGGATCACAAAGAGTCGGACATGACTTAGAGACTAAAACAACAGCTTCTTTGGTTATCTTTGACATTTTTCGATACACAAAAGAAGAATCAAGAGAAAGATGCTTTGGGGAAGGTCTCACACACACAAAGCTGCATGTGATTTTCAGCCTGAAAGCTGGTCCACCAGATCTGCCCACCCCAAACCAACATCATCCAATAACCTCAAGGACCAACCATGAGAACTCACTGAGAGATCGACAGTGACTGCGCTGATGGCATGGATGAGCATGCAGAGAAATAAACAGACTCTTGAGTCAATTACAAATGGTACCAGAAATGCCATCACAGTCAGCCTGGTGATGAAATATCTGTTCTTCCTCACTACTGGAGAAATAATGCATTTTAAGGTATTTTATTACTCTTTTCATATGCTGAAGCACTCCATCAGCTTGATTGATACACATAAAGACACATTTTGAAAAATGAGTAATACTCTACTGTTAAATGTAATGAAATCATAGCACACTGTAAGCTGTACTCTCCAAAATTCAACTCTTAACTTCATGTGGTGTTTGGAAAGCTAGAGGGCCATTGACATTCCAATCACTGGACACCATGGCTTTACCTCCTCAAGGCACAGGATTTACATTTATTTTTTAAGCTAAACATTTTAGTAAGAAGTCTTTTGAATGCAAAAATGCTATTATGCTGTAAAGAATTAGTCAAAATCTACCTTTAGAGCAAAAAAAAATTTAATTACTTATCTGTCTCAATAGCTGTTTCGATGCTGCAAGTTCACTGTGAGATGTTAAATTGTCCATATGGTGTCATTAGGGCTATACTGACCCTACCTGCACATTTTCTGATGTTATCATGAGTCAATTTTTTTTTTCTTTTCAGGAAATGCTGGTGCAGAAATGCTTTTAGCTATGAGTGACATGATCTCAGCCTTTCACTTGGAGCAGATAAGATCAGATAATTTTAATAATCAGGAAGATATCAATATAAATATAAATTTCTCTGTACTAAACCTATAGAACTGAATATAACATATGACATCAGGAAGCAATAAGAGAGTCAACTCTCTTCCCTGCAATGCCCTAATTCTACAACTTATCTTTCACACTGTTTCACAGTAGAAGAAGCATTTTCACATAAATTGCCCCATTTAGTCATCAATTTCAATCTGTGTGCAGGCAAGGATGGTATAAATTAAAGGTTTACTTTACAAGGAGACCGAGGCTCAAAATGACGACTTACTCAAGGGCATGGTCACTGAAGTAGTGGTGGTGAGACCACCAATGGATAATCAGTGAACTGCTGGAATAAAACGGGTCATGAGTAACTGAACTCAGCTCACCTTTCGAAGCCGATCTGTCGGAGAGTCTTCTCCCAGGTTGAGCCTGCAATGGGGAGGAAGGGACACAATCAATGCACATCAAAGACTCAGTTCTGCCCAGTTACACAGCCTGATAGAGATTTGTACTGATACATGTAAGTGGGGTGACTGTCTTCCCTCTCAGAGACCAGTCTGGGTGAGCAACCCCTGCCATGGACAACACCCACCCCTTCCACTGCTGACATGGTTGCCCATTATTCAACCTCTCCAAGTCTACATGTGTCCTGAGCAGAAAAATGAGTAATACTCTCCTGTTAAAAATAATGAAATAGTAGCACATTACAAGCTGTACTCTCCAAAATTCAACTTTTAACTTCATATGGCATTTGGAAAGCTGGAGGACGCTCTGATGTTCCAATTCACTGGACATGATGACTTTACCTCCTCAACATTGAAGCACAGGATTTATGTTTATTTTTAAAGCTAAACATTTTAATCAGAAGTCTCCTGAATGCAAAAGTGCTGTTTCCAATGACATGATCTGAAGGGTATCCAAGTCCCCCAAAAAAAGATGGGTATAAACATGATTTTCTGTTATTTTTCCATGTTTCTCCTTACACTATATGCGTGACTATTTTCTGAGTACTTTATATAAAGAAAAATGCTCATTTTAATCAAAGACCGTGTTAATAAGAAGTCTGCATTTATAAGAGTTCAGGGTTCTGCTAAAGGAAATCAACCCTGAATATTCTTTGGAAGGACTAATGCTGAAGCTCCAATACTTTGGCCACCTGATGCAAAGAGCCAACTCACTGGAAAAGATCCTGATGCTGGGAAAGACTGAGGGCAGGAGAAGAAGGGGATGACAGAGGATGAAATGTTGGATGGCATCACTGACTCAAAAGATATGAGTTTGAGCAAACTCTGGGAGGTGGTGAAGGACAGGGAAGCCTGGCGTGCTGCAATCCATGGGGTCACAAAGAATCAGATACAAATTAGCAGCTGAGAACAACAAGGGTTCTGCTCAGCCACACTTTCACATTTTCCCAATGCACTGTCAGGAGCAACAATAACTTGACTTCAGTAACTGTTTGAATTATCACCTCTGCTCACCCCCTAGACCTAATTCCATGAGCTGTGTCATGTACTAGTTGCTTTAATAATCACAGAAGATAATCACCACCTTTCCATACAATTTGGTCCTGCAAATAGGAAGTGGTATGTTCAGCACTGGGTCTCCAGAGGCAGCCAAGAAGTTATGCTGCTTCTTTTCCTCAAGTCAAAATAAATCAGGAGGGCATTTAGGTTTCTTTCTAGAGAACTCTGCCCCAGCACTTTATTCTCAGGTGGCCACTCAGTGCCTCCCGGGCATTAGACAGGATGGTTTCCAAGCTAGTCTAAGCGGGCATGAATGTGGGGTCTCACTAAGGGACCTGAGTTCATACTACTTCGTTATGATGGAGCATTTTCAATAACTGCTATAAATGATGCAAGGCTAAATTTGGTATCTGAACTATACACACCTGCATCCACACACAATTTAAAGCAGATTCAGATTTATCTCCTCAGATGAAGTTACTCTTGCCCAACTGAATTCCAACAGGCTTTGCTGAGTAGGAGGAAAGCCATGGAATTTTCGTTAAGCAGTCCAGGAATTTCTCGTGGCCCCTGGCCTGGGGGAGTGGGCCCCATAAGAATGTCCTGTGTCCTGTGAGTCACATGCTAGACAGTGGAGATTCCCCAGCTCAGGAATTCTTGGACGACAGTTATCCTGCCCTTGAGATGCTAGCCATTAAGATGCTGGTCAAAAATTATAACCTGAATCAGAAACCATGCTGAATTCCAGGGCAGCTGGCAACAGCCTGGCCGAGACTCAGGTGGGAGAGATGAAGAACCTTGTGCCGAGTGAGAAGCAGTCTGTGCTGGACCCAGCGGAGAGGGTCGCAGTGGGAGCTGGGGTAGGAAGGCGTTCCGATGCTATTCTCCTTGACTTCCCTTGCTTTCATTGAGAAACAAGCCACCTTTTAAATTTTTCCACATTTCCATTTTCTCCCCCTAGATATTCTCAGTGCATTCCTATATTGATTTTTTAAAAATAAACTCAATTTATTATCAAAGTAAAATAAAAATAAGTGACTTTGCTCTATTGTACTATCAGGCTTTTAAAACATGGAAATTTAAGTAAGAAATCAGTTTCATATTTCTGAGAAAAATAAACTTATTCAAAAAGGGTAGAATAAGGCAAAAGTTTCGGGGGCAAGACTTCTAGTGCTCCTTAAAATAAAGATTAACCCACTCAACCAAGCACAGTGGAGATGGGGGAACACAATTTTCTTCATCACTAGAAGTCAACTTAATTAGTAATTTGAGCATCCTACATACCATAGATGCTCATCATTGTCTGCTGGTGATCCCCTACTAAGCACCTTAATGTTAGGTATGGGACTGAATATATGAAAATATGGTTTCTTCCCTCAAACACCACATACTCCAGAGGTTTGGGCTTTTGTGTCTTTTGTGAGCACTTAGTCACGAGGGAACGAGAAACACACAATAAATGGAACAGACGTGTCCAGATCCTTTGGCACCAAGCATATTTTTGACAGCCCATTATTCAGTTGCTGGGGAATTCTTTTAAAGCCATTCCCCATGTTTTACATGGTAAAGTAATATTATTCTCCTATGCCAGAAAAGTCCAACACGGAGAGAAAAGTAGGGAAAACAAAGTCGCTGGCAGACTGCCTTGATTCAACACTTTTAAAAATGAGATTTATAATATGGAGCAGTCTAGAACACATTACCATCTTCAGGTGAAAGCAAAGGACAGCAAAAACAACAGGAAAGGAAAATACAGCAGAGATATGGATACAGTTCACAAGAGGGGGGTTCCGATCCAATTTTAGATGAAGTAGTTAGAAAGAATGCATTGCAGTTCTTCACTTGTAAAAACTGGTTACCAAAGGGGAAAGGTGAGGGGGGAGGGATAAATTAGGAGTTTGAGATGAACATATACACACTACTGTATATAGAATAGATAACCAACAAGGACCTGCTATATAGCACAGGGAACTCTGCTCAATATTCTGTAATAACCTGTAAGAGAAAAGAATCTGAAAGAGTATCTGTATGTATACCTATAACGGAATCACTTTCCTGTGCACTTGAAACTAACACAACATTGTAAATCAACTATAACTCAATTTTTAAAAACCCAACAGGTTACACTCACACCCCGTTAGGTGCCGACTTCATACATATTAGTTCATTTAATCCGTGAGGTCAGTACTACTATTAACTCCCTGCTTTCGGGTGATAAGCTGAGGGGGGCAGACCCCAGATCCAGCACTGTATTTAACTCCCTCCCTCACTGCTCTATCCTGCATGGGGTCCTGTCCTCATCTCTCTGTCCTTCCTTTTCCTCTTCTTTTTGTCTTTCCTATCATTTGTCTCTTGCCACAATCTGGCTATAATATGAGATTCCAAATGTTTTATTTTTAGCTCCATAAAGTTTTGTGTGTCTGGTTATTAACTTGAGAAGCATGAAGTGTCTACAGCAGGGATTCTGCAGCATCCAGCCCTCCTCCATCAGCAGGACTAGTGAGCTACTCCTGCGGGAATTTTGTTAGACACACAGCACGTCCCGAAGGAGCTCAGTCCACACAAAAACATTGAGACTCGTACCCCAGACACGTGGAGTAGACCTGCTTGTTCTTTATTTTGTCTGATTTTTCTGCAGCAGCGGTTTAAAACTGAAGGACTTTGCCTGCTACTTGAAACCAGACAGCTGAGTTCTCCCAGCCCTGCCTCTGGTTTGTAATTTTTTTTTTAAACAAATTACCCTGGGGTCTTTACAACACTAGAGGGTTTTCCACAGCTCCCATTCGGTTTGTCATTTCATTTTTTCATAAACGTTATTCAAAACTGTAAAAATTTCTATCTTTATGTTGTAGGTTAGTTACTCATTTTGTTATGTTTCCTCACTGATTACTTTCATCAATCATTTAAAGTCAACTTCTTGCTCACTTTCTAATACAAAAAATGTAACTTGGTTTTTCCTATAAGTTTCAAAATGCAATTAGAAAACCGGTGGTCAAACAAGGCACAGATTTTCTCCTAACTGAATAGTCCTACACCAAGTATGTCCCAGACGTTAACAGCCGCTTGAACTTGGACCTGCACCTCTGCTTTTTTCAAAATAATTAGCAGAAAAGGACTAATAATTCATGGAAGTGGTAGATTTTTTTGCCAGCATGTTCCTATAAAAATGGAAGCATTTTCATATATCATAAGAACTGCCAGACAGCTGAACATGGGACCTGGCACAGAAATTGGTGACAAAACACTCAAATACCAGGAAATTATATCACTTATGAGTTTTCTTCATTGACATTATTTTTAACTCTTTAAAGGAAAAGTTTTTCCTATCCAATCAAAGAGTCAAGATTCTACTATATATTGAACGCTGGACAGGATGTGAAATTCTAAGAGGGAAATAATAGAATCTTCTCAGTTGCTTAGGAGTGACATTTTACTCTGCAAGTGTGAAGAGGTTCTTGTGTGGAATTGTGCCTGAGCTCCATCAAACCACGGAAATGGATACTCTGATGGGTGGTGTAGACACACACAACGCACTTTTACCAGACAAGGAGCAACTTCAGCTTTTTGGGTGAAATGAAGAGGTCTGCAAAATTTTCTGAGTCCTAATTCCAGAAGATATTTATCAGTAGGGGATTAAAAGTAACTATAAAAGATAAGGATAAGGAAAAAAATTCTTTACCACTCCTTAATTAACACTTAAAAAAATATTAAATGACCTATACAGGTATAGTTTTTAAAGCATCATTTTTTCCTCTACCTAATACTCTTGTTTTTTAATGTACATTACTCCCTGCTCTGACCTTTAGTATCTATATGACACTGCTTTAGTCACATAATAATAATGTAACTCTTTCCATGTCAATAAATATGGGCCCATGATCAATTTAAAGTACATAGTGTTACATAATTTAATAAACTGTAAATTCCTTATCAATTTCTGGTGCTATATGAATTATACCTACATTT